ACCTCTTGGTACAGTCGTTGCTTTGACTCTTTGGTACAGTCGTTTGTCTTAGGAATCATACAGATAAAACCATGTGTCATCTCCTGTCAGAATTCTCTAAAGAAATGCTTCAGGATCCTGAGCCCCCTTGTCTGAATTTCCATGGAAAGCTCGGATTACAGTCGGAATTGGGTGTACTGGACAATCTGCGATGTCTGTGTTGTGGATTGTTTCTGCTATTACTCTTTGGCCCTCTTTAGTTAGAGCACAAAGATTGCTTCCTCGAAAACGGATGTCAAGGTCTGCCACTGTGGGGGTTTTCTTCAACATTGTCTCATCCTTTCTTAAAATAAGCTATCCATTTGTAAATCTCTGGTTTGGGGGGGGTGGCACTGTCCCCATAAACTTTTTGTGAAGAGTCAGTGATTTCACCATTATCTTACTCAAGCTTCGCTGTAAATTATAGCAGAATTCATGTTATTCTGACAGGGGCTCTGTTTAAACTGTTGTTGATTCCTCTTAGTGCTGCAAACTCGATCCTGTTCAGATATGTTATAACCAGTTGTTGTTGTTAAGTGCCGTCGAGTCAGTTCCCACTCACAATGGATGGTGTGTTTGAACTGCCGATCTTGCAATTCAAACTGACCTTGTGGTCCAGTGATTATCCTATAATGCCATACCAGGACCTGTAATAAATTATTGTTGTTGTTAAGTGCCATCAAGTCGGTTCTGACCCACAGCAACCCTGTATATGGTTTCTGAGGAGCGGCTGGTGAGCTTGAACTGCTGACCTTGCAGTTCACACTGATTTTGCAGTCCAGCACATTAACCCACAGCACTACACCAGTACACCTATAACAAATTAGTTCAAGTTCATCTTGGTGCAAAAAAAAAAAAAATTTTTGAAATCCATGCATAGTTTTTTCATTACACGTATTTTCCGTGAACTTTGAAGCTCTTCTTCGGCACATTTGAAGATATTATGAATGCACTTGCTATGAGCATTAGGTACTGTGGTAGTGCAGTGGTTGGAGCACTCAGCAGTGACAATTCCATGGAAGAAAAGCCCTAACCATCAGGTCCCATAAGGATTCACAGCCTCGGGGGCCTTCGGAGCAGTTCTTTTCTGCCCTGTGGCACCGATGTGAGCCATGGTAGAGCAGTGTTCCAAACCAGCGGGCCACCATCTCTGTGGCACCAGTCCCTCAAGCTCGGTTCAGCTCCATGGCATGCGGGTGGATGGGTCTAACAAACCACCACAGGTTCATGGATGAATCAGCTTGCTCTGCTGGACCTCCAACTTCATGGCAGCCCAGCTCAGGGGCAGTCCTGGAAAACAGTTGTTGTTGGTGGTGTTAAGTGCTGTTGAGTTGCTTCCAACTCATAGCAACCCTGTAAAGCATTTCCAAGGAGTGGCTGGTGGGTTTGAACCGCTGACCCATGGTTAATAGCACCAAACAAGACAGACAGTAGTGTGGAAAACTCCTCCCAATGAGAAAACCTTCAGATGATATAACCATCATCAACCATGGGTGAAAAAGCAAGTGGCCCACAGTGCGAATATATATGAAGTCATGGGCCGTAGCAAATGGTCTGGCCTGTAGGCAGGGGCCTGAAAAGATGACGGCTGGGAAGTCAGGATGGTGGTATCAGGAGTGAAGACACATGGGGACGTGTGGACAAGGACATGAAGCACAAGGCTTCTGTGCCACGCGTTCACGCTCACCAGGAGGAGGCACTAAGGCACCAAGGAGACAGAAGGAGCCGGGGCAGACATCCATCACCTCGTGTTGGCACATGGCTTCCTGAGCAACCAGGGAGGCCAGACCTTAGGCCGTGAGCCCAACAGCCAGAGTTACCACTCACCAGGGGTGACCTAACCACTGCTGCTGTTGGGAGCCCGGCTCATGGCGACCCATGTGACCAACCACAAATGTCCCATGGACTTTTCAGTTAGCAGCTGAGCATTCACTCACCATGAAGGTCCCTTTATATGCAACCTGCCAGAGTCCTGCCTGTAGCCCTCAAAATAATCTACCTCCCAAAACTCCCAACAAGCTCTGTGCTGGGACATTCACTATATTGGACTTTGTGTCCAGCAGAGGGAAGCAGTCGTATTAACAAGAAGTCACCCTATTCCAGGATGGACTGGCCTCGGCTCACACAGTGCTGATCCACTGACCCGGCACCCTACATTGTATGACGTCAGACTAAGGGGCACACTTCACCACAAAGAAGTCGGGCAATGAACACACACATGACCAGTGGTCTTATTACATACCACATCGCCCCAACATGCTGGCCCAAAGAATGATGACATGGGAGAAGTGGGGAACATCTCCCAGGACCCAGTGAACCTGCTAAATCATCAACCATAGAGTTCTCTCCCCACTTTGTGGACCACAAGGTCTGGGAATAAAAGGGCGGATGTGGAGAGCCCGCCCCGTGATTCCTTGGACAACATGCGGCTGCTCATCCTCAAACTGCGAGCACGAGAACTTAGAAGTCCTATTTCCCAAACTGGAAACTCGTCTACCAGGGGAACACATCCGGTCCCATGGAACTAGAACCTAGAAGTGTCACCCAGGAACCCGCCCACCAGGGGAACACATCCAATCTCACTGACTGGAAGCTAGAATTGTCACCCAGGAACCCACCCACCACTGGAACCCATTGTACCCTACTGACCTGAAGCTAGAATTGTCACATAGAACTTTGAAGTCCTTGTGCCAAGTGAGCGGGAAAACAAGAACCATGCTGACAGGCTGACGGATGGCACCCTCAAGATGATACATGGCTTCTGCTACCTAAGGGGCACTGAGGTGATCCCCCGGGACCTGCCCAGTTCTGACAGTGTGGGGACGAGCGCTGTACTGTGGTAGGTTAGAGCTTGGTGTCCTCATGCACAAGGGTCTGGGTGACACCCCCACCCACACCCCCATAAACCAGCTGAGGGCAGGGTCTATGGAGAAGATGAAACAGAGGAGGAAGGAAGAAGCTGTAACAGTTACGACCTCCAGACCAGCAACAGCAGCGGGGTTTGTAGTTCATCTCAGTAACCCACAAGAAGCCCTGGAGATAAGCAGCTACAGCACTTAGCTGCTAAAAGAAAAGTCGGAATCCACCAGACAGTGTGAAAGAGTTAGCGGAGCGTGACTTCTAAGATACCTCGGGAAGAGAGCACAGTAGGCCCCAGACCGTACACTGTGTGCATTGTTGTTGATAAGGGTCATCAAGTCAATTCCAACTCATAACAATCCTGTATGGGATTTCCGAGGAGCAGCTGGGGAGTTTGAACCACCGGCTTTGCAGTTCAAACTGACCTTCCAGTCTAGTGCATATCCTACAGCGCCACGCCAGGACTCCAATGTATGCATTATTGTGGTACAGAGCTTTCCCTCAGAGTAAGGCAGTGCCTAGACTGTTGGCACAAACAACATGGTCTATGCCAAACACCTGCTTTCCAATTGATCTTTCTCCCTCAGAGCCACTGACCTTACGGTTAGCAGTCCAGTACTTAGGCCACAGCACCACCAGGGCTGACTCTGTGCCCAGCCTCCAATTAAAACTCTCTGACGGGCTTCCCTGGTGGATGACATGCCGAAGGTCCTCTCACGTGCATCACAACTTGACGCTGGAGGAATTGAGGGGCCCTGGTTTCCTCTGGGTTTGGTCCCTTGTGGCATGTCCCTTTGCTGACTTCTGTGCACTTCTGCTGTGGACATCTTAGTCATGGGGACAACAGGAGGTTGAGTTCTGCAGGTCATTCCAGCAGATCCCTGGATGAGGGAGTGGTCTCGAAGACATCCTTGTCCAGGATTTGCCGGCATCTATCATCTTCTCAATAATGGAAAAGTCCAAAGGAAATTAATTCTCATTTAGAGCATTCTCAAATATTTTCCACTTTTGTCATTCTTAATTTACTTGTTTTCCACTTTTGTCATTATTAATTTAAAAAACAATGTTGTGTTGTGTTTTGGGTGAAGGTTCCCATTCAACAATTTCTACACAAGTTGTTCAGTGACACCGATCACATTCTTTACAATGCAGCGACATTCTCGTGTTTTTCATTCTGGTTGTTCTGTTTCATTCATCTAGTTTCCCTAATCCCTGACCGTGTTATCTTTGCTCCACAGTCCTTGTTGGCTGCTTCGTCTCAGATGGGTGACTTTTTAAAGGAGCACAGTATTTTTGGGTTATACTCATTATTTTCTGAGCCAACTTGTTCTTTCACTACAAGGTGACCTTGGGTTCGTCTGGGTTCCAGGATTGACGAGTGTCTCAAGTGGAGACTGAAGTCTCAACTGAACCAGTGGATCTGGGTTTTGAGTTTGCTTTTAGAAATTTGAGCTTTTGTTCCTCAGGGAAGAGAATACACTTTTATTTATGCAACTAAATCGCCCAGCATGCAAATGTGTTGTTGTTGTTAAATGCCATCGAGTCGGTTCTGACCCATAGTGACCTTGTATAGGGTTTCTGAGGAGCAGCTGGTGAGCTTGAACTGCCGACCTTGCGGTTCAAACAGCTTTGCAGTCTGGCGCATTAACCCACAACGCCACATTGGAAACTGCTCCTCAGAAACCCTATCCAGGGTCGCTATGGGTTAGAATCGGCTTGACGGCGGCACTTCACAACAACAACAATGCAAATGTGTATGTATGATGTGACTGAATGGAGAGCAGACTTCCTGGAATCACTCTGCTGTCGTGTGAGAGGCCTCTGAGTTGGTTGCTGCCCGGACCTGCATCAGCCTCACCAATGTTGCTGTGTTGGAGCCCATCGCTGCAGCCTCTATCAGTCCATTCCATGAGGGTCCCGCCTCCTCCTCACTGAAGTCCTTCTGCAGCGACTGGTCCCTCCTGGTGGCATGTCTGAAGTAGGTGAGATGAGGTCTCACCATCCTCCCTTCTCCAAGGGGCTTCCTGGCTGTACTTCCTTCAAGACGGAGTAGCTTGTCCTTCTGGCAGTTCCTGCTGGAGCCAATATTCTTGGCCAACACCATTACTCAAAGGCCTTCATTCTTATCCGGCCTTCCTTATTCACTGTTCAGCTTCCTTATGCACAGGTGACTAAAAACACATGACCTTAGTCCTCAAAGTCACACCAGGTTTTATCCTCTGGGATTTTATACTGTTACTATGAAAACTAGAAGCTTAATTGCCCAAATACTTCAAACATCTGTTTTCTCAGAGTTGTTGTTAAGGGCCATCAAGTTGCTTCCAACTCATAACAACCCTGTATATATATAGGGTTTCCAAGGAGCAGCTGGTAAGTTTTGAACCACCGACCTCGTGATTCAAACCAACCTTGCTGTCCAGTGCATTATCCTGCAGTGCCACACCTTCTAGAAGAGGAAGTTAGAAAGGAGAGATGCACGTGGACTTACGTTTTCATTAGATTCTCTTTCATTCTGGGCAGTTGGTCTGACTGTTGTCTTTTGGGAACTGGATGTGAGCCTTTTACCTGGAAAACAGCAGTTTGAGCGTTCAGCGTGGACAGCTGGGTGGACGGAGTTCAGGGTCAGAGGAACGTCACTTCTCCATGAATGCCCCACCTCCAGTCCTTTGAGCAGCACCGCAGTGAATGGAAAAGGCCCGGAGGTCTGGCTGGGCCGGTGTCACCAGGCTTCTCAAGATTCTGGAAAGCCCTCCACCTCAGCCCCCAATCCCTGCCATCTTGTCAGTGCACATAAGGGAAGCTGTGAGGACAAATTCTCATTAAGAGCTCTGGTTCCAGTTCTTTAAAAAACAACTTTTATTGTGAATTGGGTGAAAGTTTACAAAGCCAATCACTTTTCCACTCAACAAGTCAGCCACATTGTTTCACCTATGATTACAATCCCCACGATAGAACAGCATTTATCCCTCTTCCTCCCCTCGCTTCCTGTTTCCAGTCCTTTGTTTTTCCTAGCCCCTCTGAAGTTTGTCCCTGGGTAAAGCTGCCCTTTCTGATCTCCAGTGGTTCAGTGTTCTCAGGTGTGCATACCTCTCTAGTGTTGTTATCCCCTGTATAGACCTATCGGTTGTACCACGGACTGCCAGAAGAACAAACAAATCTGTGTCAGAAGAAGATCAGAATGCTCTTTAGAGATCAGGAGCTCTGGTGGAGTAGTGGTTACGAATAAGGCTGTGAACTGCAAGTTCAGCAGTTCGAAACTACAAGCTGCTCTGCGGGATAAGGCGTTCTACTCCCATAAAGATTTATAGCCTCGGAAACCCCATTCAGGGTTGCTATGGGTCGGAACCGACTTGATGGCTCTTCAACAACAACAGACTTCCTCTTTGTATAATTTGGACATGTTATCAGGAAGGACAAGTCCCTGGAGAAGGA